TAAGGTTTAACAATGACAGCAAAAAAGTTTCCTGGTCCCCAGTCTGCTTCTCGTCTTGCTTTGCTTAGGCTGTGATTTGTGTTAGGTGTTGTGACCCATCTCCTCCTGTTTAACCTATTCCATCCTCCAGCCCGGTTGCTGCGGGGAGCAAGTGGGTATTTGCAAGCCAGAGTTGTGTTACTGGAGGGGGTCAGGTCCCTCCTGGCTGTGAGGTGTTGTGGTGCAAGGTGTGGATGGGCTGCAGATGGGAGCTTAGAGTTCACCTGAGCATTTACTACTTTTCTTAGTCTGTCATTTTCAACCTTAATTCAAGTTGTGGTGTCTTCTGATCTTCCCCTGGGGAAGAGGGCAGCCCTGGTAGCTCAGCCAGATAGTCCCTCCGTTGTTCCTATCACAAGATGTTGCTGCTGAGTGTGTTCAGGATATTATTATTTATTTATTTGGAACTTATATGTACCAGATTTTGTTTTATGTTGTGTATTCAAACTTTGGTTCATTTGCTAGGCATTTGCCAGGTGACAAATTAAAGGTCTCCTATGAGAGCTACCCATGGTGGTGAGGGCTGGGAGGGTTTCCTAGGCTGCCTCCCTCTTCCCAGGAGCGAGCCTCTGCCCCGTGCCTGGTGTGGGTGCCTTGTTTCTTCTATCTGCTTCTGACTGGGGGATGACGTGTGTGTCAGAAGATCCCTCCTCCTGTGGCTGTTGGAAGGAAGGGAGCATTTTTCTTGCCTGAAGTCACCTCCCAGTATGGGAGCTGCTGCAGTCCAGGATGTCTGCACAGTAGCTGTCATGAGCTCAGGCAGGTACTGCTGCAGCAGTGGCACAGCTGTCCAGGCTCAGGACAGCTCTGTTGCTTCGCTGTTTACCTACCTTTTTAGTGGAATATTTTTTTTAAGGGCAGGAGGAACACCCTGTGTGAAAACCTGCCTAGGTGTGAGGTTAGTGGCTGCAGGCACTGCAGCCCATGTGGGAATGCCTCCCGTGGCCCGTGACAACTGCAGGCACGCGACACAGCCCCTCCACAGCCCTCCTGCTCTTGTCGCTGGAACCTGTTGCTGCAATTTGATTTCTTGAGCTGAGTTCAGGTTGCCCTTCTCCTTTGCTCTTGCTGCTTTCTGGCTATAGGTTTTCATTTCCCTGCCCCTACGCCTTGGCTAGGCCACAGGTGTGGAAAAGCTTGTTGGGAACTTAAGTAGAGATGGTATTTTTTTGTCTGAGAAAAGGGGATTTTGCAGTAGCCCAGCATGATGTTCACCCGCCCTGTTCCCAGCACTGCAGCGTGAACAGAACTGCAGAGACAGGGAGGGAGTCATCATCTGTGCCATGTGTTAGTTGTTAATTTTAGCTTTACCATAACTCTTGATGACAGGGCTTGGTTGTTTCCTACTGTAGGCAGCATGTAGCAGTTATCCTGGAGATACGGTGTGGCTGTAAGACAGCAAAGCTCAGCTCGTCCCTGAGCTGCTATTGAAGAGTGTGACAGCCAGATTCTCCCTCTGATTCCCACAGCACTGATGTTGGGAAGGTGTATGGTAGCATTTTTGTTACATTAGTGCTAAACTCTTGACTTCAGGATGGGGTTAGGCACTGGCTGAGCTCCACATGTATCTGAGCACAAACCTTGGCCAAAAGGTGGTTATGTATCTGCTGTTACACATTCTCCATTTCACCTTTGCTGCCTTTTTCCCAATTCTGGATATCTGGTGAAGTCTGTAGGAAGTACCAGCCTATACTGGCATGGTCAAAAGAGCGTCCCAGGATTTGATGCATAGGCCCCAAGCTGAATTTCTTCTCTGTAGGCTGCTGCAAGAAGCTTTTAAAAATATGCCATAGCAGGCTGAAGAAAAATCATAGTTTTAATATCTTCTCTAGGTTGTTGATACCTTTGCTTGTTACAATGCATTGCATTCCTTGTTTTGAGTCTGGAGCATCCGACTACATCAGAAAATACTGGTCTTGTTTTCTCCTGGTTCTGATACTCGCATTTGCTAATGCCTGAGTTACCCAGAGAGTTTTGTGCTTCTGATGGCTGTGTTGCCTTGCAGTGCTGGAGGCTTGCCTGGCTTGTTCTCCTGACTGGCATGGTGGAGCTCAGTGGGCTGGTGAATGATGGGGGGAGCGTGTCAGTGCCATGGCCAAATCCAGCAGAGAGTTTCTGTTTGCTCTTCTCTTTCTAGTGTCATTTTTGTTGGTGATTTTTCTGTCATCCAGAGTGTGTTTGTTCAATCTCTGCTTTCATGTTTGGTTGAACGCTGTGGGAGGATGCAAACATCTCTTCACTGCAGCAAAGGAAAGTTGTGACACCGTGCTACTACTCAGCCAACCTTTTTGCAAACTTTGAATATAATGCAACATCTTGTAATATATTTTTCTAGCTTGACAGACACCAGATCTGTAGGAGAACTGATGACTTGGGTGGAAATGCAACAGCTGATGTGTTAAAGAACTGGAGGTATAGTTGGCTGTCTTAGAATAGAAGTGTTGGGAGGGGCAAGGAATCGTATAAAGGCTGAAGCAGTTGATCCGAAGTCATGTCAAGTGAAGCATCAGAAACAAAACATGCTTGCTCTGTAACAGAACATTCTTCATAGGTGGTTTAACAAGCTTTGGAATTGAATCTGGAAAAAAAAAAAGTGATGTGTCTGTTACGTCAAGGCTTTCACAAGCTTGCAGTGTGCAGTCTGGGCTGTGACTGGTGGAAAACCAGACCTGAACAGCCATGTAATCAGTGCTTTTCCTAGGCAGTTATGAGCTCACACTGTACTTGCACCACAGCTGCATATTCCAAAATAGATTTTTGGAATTACACATGAACTTTTTTAGTATATTAGTCGTCTCTGTGGTCATTTATTCCTTGAGTTAATGACTAGTCTCTGAGAGAAAATGAGTTAACAAACTGACAGCTGCTCATAACTGATCACTTGCTGGAGAGGCCAATGTAAGTTTAACATCCACAATAAATCCTTCTTTTGCTTCTGATGGTTCAGTGGAGCAATGGCAAAGAAATGAGGCAACAACTTAATTTATCAAAGCGGTTTGTGGCTGTAGGAGATTTGTGCATGAGAGCTCATAGACAGAAATGCCAAAAAATTACAGGCTGCGGATTTCTGCTCTTCTTTGAGTAACATGAAGTGTAAATGGGAAAAGGTAGATCTCTCAGCATAACCTCACAGTCACTCAGACTAGTCCCGAGTACATGGTTGGCACGAAAAGATGGGCAAGACGGTGCAGATAGCTGAGGACCTCTGCAAGGGCTTTCTTCTGCCTCCGCTGCCAAGAGTGAACTGAAACGTCACACCAAGACGTGACGCTGAAGTGACCCGTTGCTTGTTTCAGATGTGAGCCCGTGTTCTCTGCCGTGCCTGCAACCCCTTCTGCCCCAGGGCCGGGGGTTATTGCAGAGCTGCTGGGATGTGCTGAGGCAGAGCTGTGGCTGCTGCCGCTGGCAGGAATTCCTGCGGCTGACGGGACGGGCGCCTTTCCCGATCCCAGTGTTCGCAGTAATCAATAACCATCTTTCATCAGCAGTTAGCCATTAACTGTGGCAAAGAGCAGATCTTTTTGGTAACTTTTGGTTACAAATAAATAAATAGATGTAACGGCCTTGGATAAGGCAACAAATTTTCTGAAATTCCTACCTGAAAGCTAGGTGTTTTATTAACACTTTGTTTGCAGCGGGCTGATGAATCTAGCTGGCAGCTATCTGATAATATTAATGTTCCTGCTTCACTGAAACACTGAAATCAGATTTAAGATATTTTTAAAAATTATTAATACATTTATTGTTCCTTGAAATTATTGTTTATTATGACAAATATGCTCATGGTCCAGAATGGTAAGGATATTGAGATAGTTGAAGGAAAGGCTAATTTCTCTCAGTGATTTGAAATGAAAGGCGTTAAAGGTGTAAGCACCAAGAAACCCATAATTTAATGAATGATCTTTCATTTTGATATTTGAATTAGTAGCATAGCAAGATTTTCTTCAAATATATTTATTTATTTATTTATTTATCTGTTTATTTATTTTTATTTTTTTTTACCTTAACAGCATCCATTTTAAACTGATCACACTATACAACCCGTATTGGTGGCTGTGTTAATGCTGCACTGACCTGAAACAGTTCCGTTTAAGAAATGGTGTTTGAAATGTGTTGTGAATAGCTTGTGGAGGGCAGGAATATTCATGGGCATCATGTGGTCTGTGGCTCTTTCCTTGCTGGGAGCCTGGACGAAGTCTCAGCTGTATCACTCTGCACTGCCCTTCTGCCAGGTTTATTCATCCCATACAGGCAACTTGGGTTGACTCATACTGGGAGTGAATAAAAAAAAAACCTACAAAACACATGGAAACTAAGCTGAGACACCAAATGCTTTGTTAGCTTAACTTTGTTTTTTCTGCTATTAAAGTTTCTACAGGTTCGTAATATGCTAATTTCCCCCCACACAGCTTGCATTTGTGCTTTCTGTGTGTTTGTATAAAATGTTTACAGCACAGCAGGGGAGAATTCTGGGTGATTAAAGCCAAATTTTGTAGGTTTTGAGTTCTTAGATTCTTTAAGTGTGTTAGCAGTTTTGTTGTTGCTAATGATTCATGTTCAGCTTGTGTGAGCCTCTGTAGAAATAGGACCTCAAACAACACATGGAGCACAGCAGTTTCATTATAGAGTAGTGTGAGGCAAAAATCTTTCTTTTTTTTCCACGCAGCCTTGTCTTGAAGTGTACTGTTCTGCTACAATTGAATAGAGAACAATAGAAATCTCAGAATATTAATTTCCATGTATTTGTTTCACTTAAGGCAGCTGCTGCTGTCTTGGATACTTGGATCTACTTTTCACTTAAGGCAGCTGCTGCTGTCTTGGATACTTGGATCTACTCGGGGCGAGGAGCTCATTGATTTAGGGACTGATGGGGCTATCATGAGTGTTACGAATCAACAGTCTGGAGCTGGTTTTAGGAGCAGTGGAGGTTGCTAACTTTGATTCTCTTTCTGCTTTTGTAGGTATTTGTATAAAATGTGGAAAAGGTGTGTATGGAGCGAGCCAGGCTTGCCAAGCAATGGGTAACCTCTATCATACCAACTGTTTCACGTGCTGCTCTTGTGGTAAGTCAGATCTGCCGTAGCCTTATCAAGTGGCTTCCTTTCGTAATATATATTCCTTTAGCAACCCGTGTACAAAGTGAGACCTCATCTTGCCTACTTCCTGAGGCAAAATTCCCACACAAGACTCCTGCTCCGAAAGGGTTTTTGTTTTGTTTTGTTTTTTATTTACCATCTCCAAGTGTTCAATGGTGTTTCCCTAAGCAACAACCCAGAAAAGCAGCGTTTGGTTGTTTTAAGGGCTGTGTTTACAAAAATGGCTTCAAGCTGGCTGTTATAAGCACTGCATATTTTAAATAACTTGTGTTTATAAAACTGTAATGTGCATTTATCATTTTTAGACAAAAAACAATAAAATTTGTGCAGCCAAAACCATATTATCCCTCGCTCTCTATGTGCAAATGTAACTCTAGCCAAGCATGTACATTTGTCATTTCTGTGTATACTGCTGTTCAAAATTTGTTCTCTTATGTTTGATAAGAACAAATAGAAGAAGGTTGAAATACCTTAAGCTATTGCAACATTTTATTTTTGTAGAAGAAACTTGGAGGTAATTCACCATCTCCTTCTTGCTGTTCTCAGGACTTTTTTTCAGGTTTCTCTTTTATTCTGAATGCATCTGAAAGTGGTGTTTTCTGTATGTGATTTTGGGAAATCATAGCTTTGCCAGGGGAAACAGGGCTTGAGGAGGTCAGGCCAGCACTTTCTGAAGTGTTTGCCTTAAGTGTTGTAAACTTAAGTGGGAAAATTCCTCGATGTCTTGATTGTAACTGCGGAGAGCTCACAAATTCCCACAGAGTTTAGGGGAAGTATGAAAGCTCAATTTTCAGGAGTCAGGTGATTTTTCACATGTTTATTTAGGTTCCTAACAGATGAAAATATTTGCGTGGATGTTGAAGATCACTTGTCATACATATACTCAGCAAAAGATTTGCTCTGAACATGAGTGCAAATTTTTTATAAAAAGATTAAGTAAGGATTAGAAAAAGAGTAAAAGTTTATTGGCATAGAACCAAGCAAGTTGATAACGAAAAGGCTATTGTAAATTTCACTTGTGAGAGAAGTGTTGTCTTTTCTCCTGAGAAGTTGTACAGATAAATACTGGTTTAAAGAAACCTACAACCTGGATGTAGGATTTAGTGACCTTTATTAATGACTCTGGATCATTACCAAGTTCTTGAATAAACTCCTTTCAAACCTTCAGGGATTGTTCTTACAAAATACGATATTGGATAATATCTGTGGACTCATTGCCAACATTAACCTAACCTAATTGCATGAGTGAATTCCAGCTTCTTTTCTGGGGCAGATGTGGGTTTTTTTAAGTAGTCAAAATGCATGTTTGCTACCACAGGGGTCTGTACACAGGTCACTTATTTCCTCTGAAGTTCCGCAGAAGTAAGGACGAAGCAAAATACAAACCCAGCCATCAAAAGGACAGTGAGCTTTCCCATGTGTTCTGGCGAGCTGTGTGTGGCCAGTGTGCCTCTGCTGTAGGGCGACTTGAGACATGCCCTTTCGGAGTGTAGCTTTGCCCCACCCCACCGTGCCGGTGGAATTTCGTGATTCACACAGCTTTCCGTGAGTCACACGCACGCATGAGGAAACAGTGCTCCAGGTTGGCCTCTGAGCTTCTCGCTGTACTGCCTGTGGAGGGGCCAGCTATCGCCTGCCAGCATATTTCACAAGAAGGGCTTGGACATCTGTACACAGCCTCTGGTACCATCCCATCGAAAGGGGAAGGTGTGGGGTTGTCCTTACGTTAGGCCCTGAAAAGGTGAATGTGCTGCTCATGTGGCAGCAGTGCCTGAGAGCAGGTGAAAACGCTTGATCAAAGCTCAGGTTCAGCTGTGAGTCAAAAGCAGAGTTTTTTCTCTCAACTTTGCTCTGAAACAGTACCAAAATAAGTGTAGCTGGAAAGAGAGTGTTGCTTCCCACTTTATTTGAGGCTGCGCGGTCCTTGGAAAAACCAGAGTGAATCGGGACAGTGCCAGTGGATGCAGACCTTGGGAATGGGGCATGCAGGTCCCACCTGCAGGAATTGCATCTTGGAATCATAGAATAGTTTCAGCTGGAAGAGACCTTGAAGATCATCAAGTCCAGCCTTTGTCCCAGCCCTATCAACCTACTAAACTATGTCCCTCAATGCAACATCTAGTAGAGCTGCTGAAAAAGCATTACAGGATGTAAGTTCATAAATACTTTAACCATAAAACAGCATTAGAAAGTGGTCTCATACATACTAGAGACAAATATATTTTTTTCTGGAGGCTGAAATTACACAATTCAGATATGAAATCAAAGACAGTTTTTATGCAACGAGGACGATTATCTGCTTGAACAAAATAGCAGAAGTGGCAGATTATCTTTTCTTCTGTGTTTTCAAATTTAGACTAGATGTCTCTTTGGAAAGTGTTTTACATTGAGTCAAGCTTTTAGATTCAATACATAGGTAACTGGGGGATTATTGATGATAATCGTTAGACAAGAGGTCGTAGCACACAGGCTAATGCCTTTGATGGGAGAGTAGAGAAGTATGTTAGTAATCTCTGCCTAAAACACTTCCTGTACACTAGTTCCTGTGTATACCTAGAATCTGAGAGAGCACAAGCTTGCCTTTTTTCCTTTTTTTTCCCCATATGACAAGAATGATCTGAACTCTCCTCAAGCAGTTATCCGATATAATAGATGTAGAAAGTAAAAGGCAGTAACTAGAAAAGAAAAAGTCTACACCTAAAGACATTTGATTTAATAATGGCCCGATATGTAACTAGCTACAATTAAAAGAAATAAAATATTTCAAACACATGGGAAGAGTTGTGGTTTGGAGACCACTCAGGCTGAAATGTGATAATGAGTGATGGAGCCTCCAAGGGCCTCATTTCAGCACTCAGCAGTGAGTGTTTTCAGCTCAGCCAAGGCAAGTGCAGTTATACAGAGAAACAGGGAGAGACCCTCTGTAGGAAATTCTGACCGAATCAGGGTCCTTGGGCACTTCTTGAGTTTGACTTTGGCTTCAGTGCCAAGTGCCCTCTGTTAGGGTGACCTGGTTGAGAACAGCAGCGCTTGTTCCAGTGCTGTCCTTTTCATCTCCCACCATCCTATGTCGCACCGTCGCTGGGGGATAGGAGAACCTCAAACACACTCACAGGTGCAGGTGCCTCTGAGGACTCCAGCCTTTCTGGTGTAGAAGTGTGAGGGTGCGAGAATGGATTCTCAGGGGTCTTGTGCAGTGATGGTGGTTAGCTCTTGAGGTCATGAATGCAGAAAGATGGGGAAATATTTCAGAGATACAGTGAATAAACAGGAGACTTCTGTAGCCTTTAGACATTTTGGTAAAATGCTTGGATAGTAAATATCTTCATTGTCTTTCTAGATTCTGGCAACTTTGGGATAAAACTTATTAATAAATTGTTTCAAAGTTGCACAGGATCTTGTCAAAAAAAGGAAATCTTGCCAGAGAGCTTGAGGTCAGAAGAACGGAAAGGAAAAGTAAATGACCTAGCAGACAGGTTTTACGTGCTGCATTTCTGCCTCTTTAACGTGTTCAGTAGTGAAGTTTTAAGTAGCTGAACCTTCCTCCCATAACTGAGCAAGTTCAACATCTCAGAACTTTGTTCTGTCAGTTAATTTTTGTTACATCTCTGTGTAATCCCCCTGCTGCCTTCTGCAAAAAGCCATGCTCCTCAGATAGCTTTGGGTTTTTTCTTCCCTCCCCAGAGGTCAGGTAATTCTGTGAAAACCGAAGCGATCTCATTTCCCTGGGATCAAGTAGTTCAATGTGCATCTTTATCCACAATCTCTTAAGAGAAAAGAACTGGAGCTTGTTAGGATGGGGTTTAAGTATAGATTTAAATCCTCTGTCAGCCCTAACACCAGTGGAACCTCTCTAGTCCTTGATTCAGCAAAATACTTAGATACATGCTTAAATATGTTACATTTCTCCTATGTAAGTACACTTTGCTGAATCTTGAATGACAGAGATGAGTTCAGACAGCAGCATACATTGTCCCTTCTGTTAAGTGTAAAATTTTAGTTTTGGCAGGAATTCAGTTGCAGATTTGCTTAAAGACAAGAGCTGAGAAATGTGTGCCTGAAGAGCTCATCATCTAATTCCTCTTAGTAGTATTTCAGAGCATGCAGAATTTCTTGAAGAATAATTGCAATACTGCTAGATTGCTCGTGTGCTCTAAGTGATCAGCTGCAGGAATTTATGGGCTCTATTTGATACATGTTGTAGAAGATAACTTGTCAGGTACCTCCAGTTTGCAAATCATACTGCCACCCACAGCATCTTTTCAGGCCAAAAATTTGAATCCAGTGGCAATGATTGTAGAAGCTGCAGCAACGTGAATCTTCACAATGAGGAATATAGTTTTGTTCCTTCTTGCTCTGAGGGTGTAGGTAGCTTTGCAGAGCTAAGAGTTTGAAGTGTCTGTGCTCTCAAATCTGGAATATATTTCACCATAAAAACCAGAAGTACGTTCTGCTCACTTACACGAAGGCAAATGTTTGAGCATGCCATTTGTCTTTTAATTTGCACTTTTGCCACTGGTTTTAAGACAGAGGAAATGACCTCAAGATCAATCATAAGCCTAAAGCAAACTGCATAATCCCAAAGGTTTGCAGCTCGTTTCTTACCTAGTAGCTATTGGTCAGACCAGAGCACTCACAGGGGCTTGGCACAGCAGTTTAGTGTTAAGGGGCAGCTCATAAAGGTCTGTCAGTTCAGTTACTCCTGGCACTGCTGCAGCCTCAGCACCAGCCTTTGTCCAAACTGTGCCAGCTCGTTGCTGCACGCCTCGCAGAGAGGGATGGCAGCGAGGGCTGGCAGCGCTGCCCAGGTGGGACAACTGTAGCAGTAGCTGTTGTGATCCTGAGGAGAGAAGGAAAAGAAAGAGCAGTTCTGAATACAGCCTGTGCTCTCCAGCTGATGTGAAAGGGGAATTGGTCCATTGTGGACACAGCCTGCCTTTTTTCTCATATTAAGGCTCGGAGACAGC